ACCAGATTTGCAGTAATACACTGTTTTCTTAACAAACCTGTACGTGCTTTTCGAAGTGTACGCTTGGTGGGCTGAAAACGCTATTCAGAGAGTTTCAAGGCGCCAGGAGCTTGGGAAAGTGGTTTTTCTAACCAACGAATATATGCACTTGAGTGAAGTGCTTTTCCATGACATTTTTCACATGTATGAAGAATAATAATATTAAATATGAATGTTTTTAATAAAATGCATTAATTGATATTAAATAGGAATGTTTTTAATAAACTCAATTAATTAATATTAGAGTGTTATAAAGTCAATATCGTGAAAAATAAAGTTTACAAAGTAATTATTCACCAGATTTGCAGTAATACACTGTTTTCTTAACAAACCTGTACGTGCTTTTCGAAGTGTACGCTTGGTGGGCTGAAAACGCTATTCAGAGAGTTTCAAGGCGCCAGCGGCTTGGGAAAGTGGTTTTTCTAACAAACGCATATATGCACTAGACAGAAGTACTTTTCCATGACATTTTTTACATGTTTATGAAGAATAATAATATTAAATATGAATGTTTTTAATAAAATGCTTTAATTGATAATAAATAGGAATTTTTTTTAAATAAAATCAATTAATTGATATTAGAGTGTTATAAAGTCCATAACGTGAAAAATAAAGTTTAGAAAGTCATAGTTCACAAAATTTGCACGAACACTTTGTTTACTTAACAAACTTGTATGTGCTTTTAGAAGTGTATGCTTGGTGGGCTGAAAACGCTATTCAGAGAGTTTCAAGGCGCCAGGTGCTTGTGCAAGAAGTTTTTCTAACAAACGCATATATGCACTTGAGTGAAGTACATTTCCATGACATTTTTCACATGTTGATGAAGAATAATATTAAATATGAATTTTTTAATAAAATGCATTAATTGATATAAAATATGAATTTTTTTTTATAAAATCAATTAATTGATATTAGAGTGTTATGAAGACAAAATCGTGAAAAATAAAGTTTAGAAAGTCATAGTTCACCAGATTTGCAGTAATACACTGTTTTCTTAACAAACCTGTACGTGCTTTTCGAAGTGTACGCTTGGTGGGCTGAAAACGCTATTCAGAGAGTTTCAAGGCGCCAGGAGCTTGGGAAAGTGGTTTTTCTAACCAACGAATATATGCACTTGAGTGAAGTGCTTTTCCATGACATTTTTCACATGTATGAAGAATAA